CAGGGGTCTGCGTGCAGGCAGCAGGAGCTTTCCCCGTGCAGCCTATTTCCTAGGTACGTGCTAGGGTTGTTTCTTTTGACATTATATCCCATTGAATTATCAATAGATGTTTCATCCTTCGGCGAGCATGGAATTTAGTCTGAAAAATCCAGAGCCTGGGAAAATATTGAGTAACGTTCTGACTACTGGAAGATCAGGGAGAGCTTGATGTGCTCAGTGCCAGAATTTCTTCTTTCATCTCTGAGATGTGTTTACAGCACCGTGTTCCTCTACTCCACGGGTTTGTGCGCATTCGAGGTTATTATTGATAAGAGATAAGGAATGGATGGAGAGTTTGTGAGTAGAGTGCTCTGCTCCCTAAACCTTTTTATTTCTGTAGGTACTCCCCACAAAAGGAAACAGCAGCTAAATCTGCAGCTGCGAGGAAAGCTCTTCTGAGGGTTTAGATTCAATATTAGCTTTAATTTCATATTTATAGGTTGTTTCCTCCTTTAGGCTTTTCTGGGGTTGGTTGATTGGTTGGGTTTTGTTTGATTTTTTTTTTTTTTTTTCCCCATGCAGAAGCAAAATTCCTCCAAATGGTATCAAAAGGGCAAAGCCCAAAGCCTGTCTTAGGTCAACTTTGCTCTGTGGGTCCCTCTGGAAGCGTAAGGCAAAGCCTTCCCCGCGCAGAGCCAGACCACTGAATATTTAATACTCTTTGTTAGTGCGTTCTCATTACATTTCAATCTGGATGCAAAAAAAAAAAAAAGAAGAATCATTGTGACTTAGAAATAAGCACATCTTGGAGTACCTGCTGAGAGTCTCACTGAGTGTGAGATTTTCAGTGTTACATCAGGGACTTGAAAAGTCAACAAAATTATGCTGTTAATAGATTTTGTATTCTTTGGGCATGGGCACACTTTCCAAAATTTTGTTCTTGAGCTTTTAATGATTATAAATTTTTGCTGCTTTAGAAACCAAGGGTGATCCTGTCTGTGCCCAGCAGAACGTAGCGACTGCATGTACAAACAAGCAAGCATAAAATTTTTGACAAAGGATGGGAATTAAAACACAGGTGTTCCAGGAACCAACCAAAGTGTTAGAATATTTTAAAATATTACAGGAAAGGAAGCAAAATTCCCATTTTCCTACAGCTGAGGCCAGCTGCCCTGGCAGGAACTGCCTCTTTCTGAGGCTGTTGGTGTTTTCCCATTAACTGGAATCTCCGTCTCTCAGCAGCAGAGGCACGGTGGTTTTTTCTCGGTTTATTTTCAGGGCAGTGAACTTGATGCTGGAAGCCATTTGAGCAGTAGATTCCAGCTGCAAAATAACTTATCTGATTTAAAGATTTATTTTTTTTTAATAACAAATACATTAATGGCACATCTTATTTTCATTAAATTCATGTCTTCTTAGAGGCAGTCGGGTCACAAGCACCGGGGGTGTATCTGCTCCCTCTCCTGAGCTCTCTTTTGGCCATGAGCAAGTAGAGGAGGGAGCTAGCAACTGTCTGGGTAGTGTGGGGTCAGAAAAGAAATATCCTTTAAATACTCTTTGATAGAAATAACAAAGGTGGAAAAGTTAGTTGTCTGTTCTGGGAAACGTCACCTCTCTAGTTCAATTTGATTCTTGGTGCGCGCTCAGGGACGGTGGCTTCTGCTGGAGGTCACAGCGGTGGGATGGAGAATTTCCCATTCTCTTCTTCAGATGCTTAAACAAGAGCATAAAAATTCCAGTTCAGACATGCTGGGTGAGGGGGTTGTCCCTGATAGCCATTCCCAGTTCAACCACCAGGGATGCAGATCAGCATCTGCTCATCGCGGATGCAAATCGAGGAGGCGTATCACTTGCAGAGGACCTTCAGAGTTCTGAACCTTCCTGCTGTTGTCCCCCTTTGTCCTTGTGATGTCCTCGTTGTGGTTAGATTGAGCCGTAGGTTGCTTGTGTTTGTAAGCGACGGTAAAATGCATCTGTGCTGACAGAGTCTTAAAAAAGGACAGATGTTCTCAATACGCACGGCTTGCGAGTCAGGGCTCCTCGGCTCTGACAATAATCAGAAACGTCATAGAACAGATTCCTTTTATCCTCTTCCTCCTCGGTGTTGTTTTGTAGTAAAACGTGGGTAAACTTAATCATAAAATGCACGGACCATGAGGGTGTGAGGTACAGATTGAGGTCTTATTCCAGCACAAGTTATGTTCAGTTCATACCGAAAGCTTATATTTTGTTATGACATTAAACTCCATCCTCAGAGTTCATCTGTATTCCAACCCCCTTTGCAGAGACTGCTTTTTATGAGCACGAAGAACGGGAAAGCATAAATATTTATTCCTTAAAGGTTATGATTGCCTTAAATCATTCAAGCTTACTTGGTGAGCATCAGATATAATTAAAGTAAGCAGCTGAACTCAATCTGCATGTATGAAAGTATATATATATATATATGTATGTATGTGCCTATATATATACACTTGACTCCAGTATGAATGGAAACTGTAAGCTAATTGCTTCCACCACATCAAAAGATACACTGATAATTTTATTGTTCCTGGGTGCAATAATAAATCAACATAAAGAAACAGTTGAAGTTATATACTGGAAAGTCCCGTTTTGACCTGCAGCGTATGCTGAGGTAACAAACCAAGCAGAGCTCGTCTCGAGCAGTGCTTGTCTACCTATAGGGAGATGATTAAGCACGTTATGAAAATAATTCCATTGTTGTTTGTAGCGAATTGCTCGTGTGCCGAAATTCATGTGCAGACCTCGCTGTGAGCTTGGTGTCCCTATAACCCCCTCTCAGAAGAGACCAGATGATGAAATACAGTTTTAATCTGTCTCTGATGACTCTCTGGAAGCAATAGGATGAACGTGTTCTTTTTGCCATCATTAAAATTAATTTGAAAAGCCAAAGAAAACTGAACAGCTCTTGCTCTGTAGAGTATTATTCATGGAATTGTGTAGTAATGTAAATGCAAGTCAGAGGTGGAAATCCCAGCTCAAGAAATGGTCTCTGAGGATACAAAAACCAGAATTTTGGGCTGTTCACGTGCGGGTTCCTGCTGGGCATCTCTCTAAAACTGATGGGGCTGCTGTGGGTCCACAGGATCAGAGGCACCTTAGACTTTACTGTTGGCATCGGTGGTTCCTTTGTTTCTTTATATCCAGAGCTCATCAAAGTTAGTAGTTTTGCCAGGGGCTTTGACAAAAGCAGAAAAAAGAAACTGTCGTTGCCTGAGGTCCGAGCTGGAAAATGGTTCAGTGTCTTGTCAGAGATGGGCAGGTTCCAAGTGCCTCCAGTTCCCTTCTTGTGCTCTAGGTAGCACAGCAAACATCGCACTGACCTATTCCTCTTCCCTAAACGCTTTATCATGCTTTCTTCAAAGCAAGTATGGATTAAATTTATCGTGGTGCCTTGCAGGGTAATTTCTTTATCGTGCTACTGATCGTGTCTTGCAGAAATTTCTCTTACCCTGACTTAATGGGGAAAGAAAAGAAAAAAGAAGAGAAATAATAAAATGTTTCCTTTCCTGATGTTTTTCCTGCAGCTGCTTGTAATTCATCTTTGCTGTGCTCTGCACACCTTGAGTGCGCGCTCCCTCCAGCCCCTCGAGATCTCTCTCGCGTTGAGGTGCCCAAAACTGGACTCTTGAGATCTCTCTCGTGTTGAGGTGCCCAAAACTGGACAAGGTCCAGTTTTGGGCACCTCAACACGAGAGAGATCTCAAGGGGCTGGAGCGAATGCTGGGGAATAAATCTTGTGAAGAGCAACTGAAGGAGCTGAGGCTGTTGGGTTTGAAGCAGAGGAGGCTGAGAGGAGCCCTCCTCACTCTCTGCAGCTGCCTGACAGGACATTGTGGAGAGGTTGGGGCTGGTCTCTTCTCACAGATAATTGACAATAGAAGAAGCGGGAATGGCTTCAAATTGCAACAGGGGAGGCTTAGTCTGGATATTAGGAGAAATTTTTTCACAGAAGAGTAGCCAGACCTTGGCACAGGCTGCCCAGGGAGGGGATTGAGTCCCCATCCCTGGAGGGCTTTAAAGGTTGTTTAGATGTGGGGCTGGGGGAGATGGATAAGGGGTGAGCTCTGTAGAGTAGTTGGACTCAATCCCAAGTGGCTTTTCCAACCTGAATGATTCTGTGATTTAATATTAAATGTTCTTCTTGCATTCTTGAGATTTTCTCAGAATCCTTAGATTTTCGAGACTTAGGAGGAGAGGGGAGATGTGCTGGCATGCAGTGGCTGCAGGGCTGTTGGTTCTTGCTGTGCTTACACGTAAATGTTCCTGGGGAAAAGGTGTTTATTTGCAAAATACTCATCTAAAGTGCCTTTGCAGTTGTCTCAAGGCCTGATCCCACTGATTTAATATCTCCATTTCTGTTGTTGTAAAAAAATATTATGAAAAAAAAATTGGAATACTTGAGGTTTGACCTCAGTTTTGGCAATAGCCACCAATTCTCAAGGATTGGTTAGCCTGGTTTAATTAGCATGATTCTAGCAGCAGACTTGGATTACTAATTTATCGTGAATAACGTGTATGAGCAATTTAGTGATTTTTTGTTTTGAGAATTGTCTGAGCAGACTGTGATTCCCTTGGATAAAGCTGCTGCTTTAAATTATTGACAGTTTCCCATGGATGGAGTGGGACGCAAAGAGTTTGTGATAAGGAACAGTAGAAACTGGAGCTGTGTTATTTAGTCAGAAATAAGAAGACTGATCTTGCTGTAATTTTTCCTGAAAGCATTAATATAGCCTTGCAAATTTTTGGTTAGAGGGTCATATTTTTATTAATTTAAAATATCCACTCATGCTTGTTTGAGAGTCAATGGATGTCACGGCCAGTCGAAAAAAACTAAACCCCAAACGTGTTGTTTTAACTGTCAGCTGGGTACAGGGAGAAGAGTTTAAAAGGACGTTAAAAGAGTGTTCTGTGAAATGCAGCTGGGAAAAAGAAAAGAGTTTTTTAAGGGTGTTCTCATTGACTGGGAAAAAACATGTTTCCTTATGGTTCGAATGCAGGTTCTGCCTCCCGAATGGATGCTCACGTGGGTCCTTTGATGCCAACGCACGTCACCCGCGTCACCGCTGTGGCGGCGCCGGCGGTGACCTTCATGGCAACCAATTTGATGGATCAGGCGTTAACAGGTGTGTATACGTTTCTATATACTGATTATATCGCTGAAGCATGTGTTGTCTATTTGCACAGTTCCAGCCAAGCTGCACGTTCCGTGGAGAGTGGGATCCTTAAAAAAAATTGTCTTGAATTTTCCGACGTTCTCTTTAGCTGATTCCAAGTGTATCAGAGTGTTTTGCCTCCTGTTTATTTAGTCTGGCAACTGGCATAATTGCACTTCATGATACAGAAGGCAAGTTTCTGAAATGTCCTTGTGCTTTCTGTGTCCCGTGCTGGTGGTATTCGCCAGCACTACAGCGATAATGTGGTTAGCTTTTGGATAGCTGCTCCATGAAGCCTCGTTGGCTGAAGCCTCCAGGGATGCTTCGTGCTGTGCTGTGATAAAACTGGTTTATTCACTGTCACGTAAATGTGTGTGTGTTGCCGTGAGAGGAGAGGCAGTGCCGTTCCCGAAGGCTGGAGACAGTCTTGTGGCTTTGTTTAGATTCACGTACACGCGTTGTGAATCACGACCAGATTTTGATAGGAAATAGGGAACGTCTTCACAGAATCACAGAATGTCGGGGGTTGGAAGGGACCTCAAAAGATCATCTAGTCCAACCCCCTGCCAGAGCAGGATCCCCTACAGTAGGTCACACAGGAATGTGTCCAGGTGGGTTGGAAAGTCTCCAGAGCAGGAGACTCCACACCCTCTCTGGGCAGCCTGGGCCAGGGCTCTGTCACCTGCACAGGAAAAAAGTTTTTCCTAATGTTTCTGTGGAACCTCCTGTGCTCCAGCTTGTACCCGTTGCCCCTTGTCCTGTCACTGGACATCCCTGAGCAGAGCCTGGCTCCGTCCTCCTGACACTCCCCCTTGACGTATTTATAACCATGACTGAGGTCACCCCTCAGGCTCCTCTTCTCCAGCTGCAGAGCCCCAGCTCCTTCAGCCTTTCCTCCCCAGGGAGATGTTCCATCCCTCCCTCATCCCTGGGGCTGCGCTGGGCTCTCTCCAGCAGTTCCCTGTCTTGCCTAATAATGGGAAATCCCTCTTGCGATGCTGTTGCTGTAAGCCAGGAGCTCTGTTGATGGAGGTGAGATGCTGAGATGGGGATAGACAGGTTGTTCTCCAGCCTGACTGGGTTGCCCGCAGCCGTGAAGGGGGCACCAGCCAGCCCCTGCCAGCTCCACGGGCCCTCAGGGCACCTCCCTGTGGGAAAACCTGGCATTTCTTGTGAATTACAAGGTATTGCTTCAGGCATCCCTTGTCTGAGCCTTCATACCGAGGGATTACACGGTTGTAGAGGTGTTGAGGAGTTAGAAATGAATTTCCTTATGCTGCATTTGGTCACGTTACAGAGTTTTGATGTCTCCTTGTCCAGCTAAGCTGTTTGCTCCATGGATACCTCACGGCTCTGCCCATGGCTAAGATGCAGGTTCATAAAAGACTTTGTGGCCAGCTGTGCTAGGCAAATCCAGAGGCTCCCTCTGAAGCAGGTCATGCTGCTCCCTACCTGTTTCTTGTAGAGTCATCTGACTGGACTTACCTTGCTGAGCATTCCAGCTCTGGCTGGAAATTGCTGAAAATTTTATCACACAGACACCTTAAAACTGAAGGAAAGCTCATACCCATCTCTTGATGTAGGTCAGTTTAAAGGTTCTTGCCTGGTTTGGTTTTTTTTTTGGTAAACACCTGCTTTATTTGTCATCTATAAAGTTATTGTGCTGGAAGGCCTGCGAACTCCTTAAAGTCACCAGGGGTTGTACTACCCTGCGTCCTTGTCAGAAGCGAGTGAGAGGGAGGAAATGCTAAAACTGTCCAAAGAACACAGGGACAGAAAGATGGAGATTTGTGCAAGGGTTGTGCAGATCCACAGCTTGTTGAGAACTGAAGTTGTGGTTTCTAATATATTTCATATCAAATATATTTCATAGTCTTCTTGAAAACACAAACGCTCCTGAGTTTATCCCTTCAGCTGAATAAGGATCTAACTGTATAAAGCCTCTTGATGACTAGAGGACTTTTGATGACGAGTCCAATGTGACCGTTTGGTCAGCAGGTTCCCTAAATCAGGTGTCTGCACTGTTGGGAGGCCGTCACTTTGGAAGAGAAATTAAGTTTTTATATGCATACAAGTGATGTAAATAAGATGAACATCGTATTTTTGTTTCCAGCTTTCTCTTGAAACTACAAAACACCTTGTTCTTCCTCCTTCTCAGATCTTTGATTTGCTGCCAATTACATTTAAGAGAAAAATAATCATTTCACTCCAGGATGGTATGGGTTTTCTGTTTTTGAGGAGATCACACTCTGCGTTGCTGCAAACGCGTTCTCTTGTGGAAAAACAATCAAAAGTGAGAAGCATAATTAAGAGCAAATTACAGGAGTAAAGGTTTTTTCACACGTCAGCCTCGAAGTGCTACAGAAGAGCACTTAGGAAGCTGTTGGAGACCCTGGGGACCCAACCAAGTCCCGTCAGTCACCTATCCCCACACCAGTGGAGAGATGGTTTACGAAGATACCAGCCTCCAAGTTGTTGGAGTTTGGTTTTTTGGGAGAGTTATTTTTTTGTGGTGTTTTTGTGGGTTTTTTTAAAGCTCTGGACCTTGAAAAATGTATCTAGGGAGTGTCTCCAGCCCAGGAGGTACAACACAGGGGTAGTCGTTTCTACGAGACGTCCAGGACAGACAACTGGAATACCACCAGCACATTGAGTCACTTGTAACACGCACGTACAGGCACGTGCCACCTTTTTTTTTTGGTGCCAGTACCTGCAGTGGCCATATGAAGCAGCGATAGAGGCTGTAGCTGGTCTTGCAGGCATCCTTTCATTTTGCAGTATAAATAAGCCTTTCTTTGACTTGGCTTCTAAAGAGTAAATTGGGTGTGCAGTGAGGCTTGACACAGTTGGATTTGGCTCATGACAACACAAAATCTTTCTCTGAAGAGAAAATAAAATTTTCTATATTTCTGGAGCAGGAGGAGTAAATTTTGCAATGGTCTTGGCTTCCAGTAAGCATTTATTTTTGTGTTGCAAGCTGGAAAAGTCCAGTCTCAACTGAAAATGTAACTTTTTTGCATTACAGTACGTATGAAAGAGGTGGAGCTGTAGCTGTCGTTTCATAGATATGCAGAGCTCAGGCCCTTAAGTGCCTTGAAGGTCAGGGTCAAGATTTTGAAGTTGATATTTAAAAAGAATCACATGCCAAGAGTAGAGGAGGGAGAATCGGCAAGAATCAGTGAAGGTCTTTGACTGGCCTGGCCTCACAGAGGTGCAGGAAGAGCTGAGAGAGAAGCTGCAAAATGCTGCAGTGGCTTAAATGAGGGGAAAAACACAAAACCAGGCAGAAACCTGCTGCCAGGGCTGTGCCTGGTGTTGGTGGGAGCTGATGCTGCTTTGTGGGCAGCAAGGGAATATGCCCATAGGGATTTTTTCACCATTTTCACAGTAGTGGCAAATAGTATCTATTGGGCAGTGTGGGCTGTGTTCCCAAAACGTCGTTTCAAAATGAAATGAGTTGTCCTCGGGCTCTGCAGCAGGCGAGCAGCCCACGGGAGGTGCAGCAAGCAAAGGATTTGTCCTTGTTCTGCTGGTCCCTTTGCACCGACCCAGGAAAACCAGCGGCGTGAGGGGGAGGAGACTGCTCACGGAGGAAAAAAGCCCTGCTCGGAGAGACTCATTCCACGAGGGGAGATGGAGCGGTTGGCTGGGCACAGGGAAACTGGTCCGAGGAGAGACTCATTCCACGAGGGGAGATGGAGCGTTTGACTGGGCACAGGGAAACTGGTCCGAACAGAAAATAGACACGGATTAAAGGGTGAGATAGGGTGTGCAGGCAGGGGCGGGAGCAGGATCTGCTTCCCTGAAGCAGTGGTGATGGGCTGGGGCTGGGATCCCACAAGTGGCTGGAGCAGGAGAGTTGAGAATGGGTTTTAGGCTCATCTCAAAACCCAGAAAGCAATAAGGTTGTGGGGAGAGATGGAACTGACCTGCAGAGATAGTGGTGGGGTGATACAAAAATCGAGTGTTTAGATGGATGCACTTCAAGGAAATTCAATTCTTGGAAACCTTTAGAATCAAAATTTCAAACTTTGGAGATTAGTGGAAGTTTGGTTTCCAAATACCTTTGGAAAAGGTTTCTAAATACCTTTGGAAAAGGTTTCTAAATACCTTTGGAAAACAAATTTTTATTATCTTCTGTCTATGGCACCTCGTGGCGTGAATCAGTCTTCTGTTTTCCACTCCTCCTCTAATTCTGCTTTTAATAAGATGTTTATGATCGTACAGCTACCTCCACTGTGATACACCCAGCACAGCTTTGCTACTTCACCTTTACTTTTCCTGCTGTGAATTATTCATGTCTGTCTACCTGCCGTGGAGCCTCAGAGAAGTCTCTTTAATCAGATATCTTTATCCTCCCGTCTCCAGTGCGTCCTTCAGCGGCGTTACAGCAAGTGTGGGAACACATCATTAGCGATGATGCTGATAAGTTTAGGGGTAAAAAACTGTGTGTGATTATGTTGGGGATATGTCACGGTAGCTTAATTGTCAGGCTGCAGTTTATTTTAGAGAGTTAAGTTAAAAAGGGAGGGAAAAACCAAGGCTGATTCATGAGAAGAGTTAAGCTGAGTGAAGACGTTTGCCGGTGGAGGGTACACATCTGTCTTCTGGAGGAGGAGAAGTCTTTAATGATCTAAGAAGTCTTAAGAGTGGCCTGATGGATCTCCTCAGTGAGCAGAGCGGGTCTGGGGTCAGCAGGACGGGCTCCCCACAGCCCAGGTGAGCCTGAGCCAGGGATGCTCCTGCCTCGGGGACCCCAAGCTCCGGGGAGAGGGAGCGTGAGCTCGAGTTATTTTCGTCTTGACATTGTACTTGGGGAGAACGGTCGCAGCGTTCAACTACAGCTCTAGAAATAAATTACTCCTGACACGCCGAGTGACTTTCAGGACTTCCTTCTGTTATTTTATTTAAATTCTTTTTATTTCCATCGTATTTTATATGTGCTGACTTTCCAAAAAAATTCGTGGCAGCGTCTTTCTCCTGTGAATGCCTAATGATCCGCGTGCCGCGGGAGTTCACCTCCGCGCGCTGTGTGGGTGATGCTGTATTTCAAGCAAAAGCTGCAGCACCCAGGTCCCTCCCTGGGGCTTCAGATGCTGTGAGGAAGCTTTTCAAAGGAGGTAAAAAAGAGGTTGCCTCAGGCTTTTGCAGCTCAGGGTGAATCTGGGCTGAAGACGTGCAAGGTTCAAACAGGAGTGAAGGTGCTGCCCGAGAGCCTCCCCGCACCGGTACGTCCGTGCTCTGTACTTCAAGCCAATCTTCAATTATTAAAGCATAAAGTAAGAGCAGCCGTGACAAAAAAGCAGTTGCACCACGTGTTGTACCTCCCTTGGCATCCAGCTGGAGCCGAACAAGCGCAGGTTAGGCACTCGCTCCTGTCTCATTTCTTCAGCGTGAGCTGTGGAAGACTCCTCTGCCGAATTTCAGTTGTGCAACACTCTCTTTCAATCTGCCAGCTGACATTTAGGTAGCGATGTTAATGCTTGTAATGATTAATTACAAGTTGCCATCAGCCAGGTAAATGTGTTTTCTCATTCCTCATGTATGTGTGCATATACGTGAGTGGAAGATCTTGACTGCTTGTTAAACCAGCGCAACAACGGAGGCTATAAAAGAATCAACGTTGTACTAATAATAAAAAGCTTTTTTCCTAGGATTAGAGAAATAGTTAAAAAGGGAGCGAAGCGGAGCTGTGCGAGGGGTTGGTGTGATTACCCTATTAAAAGAAAAACTAAATCCCAGGTCTGTTAAGCATCGTTTCCCAAGCGTGCTGCTCCGTGTTTTGAGTGACAGAATCCCATCAGCAATTTGTGGCCGTTTCATCGGCAGCTGACTGGCCGCCCAGAGTCTGCGCTTCAGGGATTATTTCATGGGAAGAGTGGAAGAGTCAAGAGCTGGAAATGCTGAGATGCACCGTGAGCATCACCAGCATTGCCCGCAATGGCCTTCAGCACATCGGTCGGCTGTGGTGCCCAAGCCTGACACCCGTGCCTGCAGACTGTGGCCAGCGCCAGCTGTGCACTGGCAGAATGTGGCCAGCAGCAGCTATGTACCTACAAAAGCCATCCCAAACCTGGGCTGTTGCGGCTGCCTTTAAATTGCTCCAAAATCCATGCCTTGCAAAGGAACGTTTGCTGCCGAGGGGGATGTCTCAAGGTTCCTTTCATCCTCTGCAAACACATTTGCAGGAGGCGCAGGGATATTTGGGTTTGAGTTCCTTGCCAGAAGGGAGGCAGGCTGTGCTCCGAGGCGGTGCCCGAGGGCAGCTCCTGTCGCGCCGTGGGAGTGGAGAGCAAGGGTATCGCTGGGGAACAGCAGCAGGAGAGTCGGAGTGATGGGAAATCTTGGGCCAATATAATGAAATACCTCTGTGAACCAGTTAAGAAACTGCACGTTGTCTTTCCTCCGCCTTGTTTTAGAGGTGGAGAATATACCAGGAGAGCTCCCCTGAAGCGAGGTGCCCTGGTTGTGCATCCAGTCCTCACGGAGCCGGTGGGTGTGAGAAGCATCCTCATGGGTCCCACCGGTGTCCCTGAGCTCCCCGAGCACTCCGCCGGGATTTCCTTGGCCTTTGCAGGAGAAGGCAGAGGGGGCTGCCCGCAGAAAGGTTGGAGCTGGGTGTGACTTTACAGCCTCCAAAGAGGAAGCAGCCCGGTAATGCTTTGATTCCCGATTAACAGATGCCTTGTGAAGAAAGATAAATTTAGAGACCCTTTTGATATGTATTAGCTGCTCCCTATTCCTGGCTCCTTTAATATGGAAACTAATTGATACGGTTTGTAAATCTTCTTTTTCACTACCCATAAAAAAATGAGTAAGTCATCCTCTGAGAAAAATGACATATATTTCTAGTTTTATGATTGCAATACATTCCACAGTGAAGCAAAGTCAAATGGTTCAGACTCCCTTCTTTTCCTTGGTGTAGTTACACGTGTGCTTATGCTGTTGTCCGAGTAATTTTAAATTTAATTGGGTAGTGTTTTGACATGTAAGTCTGCTGTACAATATGCAGTCCTAGAAAAGCAATGCTTGCAAATAATTCCTTGGAGTTGCTGTGCCGTGTTTTTTGGCTGTTTGGTGGATGATGCTCCATAACTCTTGTGGTGGGTGAGGAGTCCGGACGCTTTTCCTGGGACTGGGGAACATCCACAAAATATAGGGACTGTGTCCTCCCCGCTGCAGGCTCCAAATATGCGTTTTAAGAGTAATGGAAGGATGAGACAATAAAAAAATACACGTTTTTTGATATTTCTTACTGCTTTTTAATCATTGTTGAATCTGTATCTCATACCTGCTGCCTTTTTGCTTTTTCTATCCCTTATGGCCTCTCTATTATCGAGACATACACGTTTTGGAGCCAGCAGAAACAATTTAGTGTTTAGCATTTCAGGAGGGAAATGCTAAAATAGGGTTCCTATGGGAGTGAACCCGGAGCACACCAGTATCTCCCAGCTGGGAGGAGGGGGCCAGCCAGCCCGGAGCGCCCCGGGGGGATGCTGCTGCTCCCAGGGGGAGTGGAGGATGTGCCCGTGGAAAAAAGTTTTGGGTTCAGGGATAATGGAACAAAAAGCCGTGTGATAACAGCCACGGTCTGAAGTATACGAATGTGTCCCACTAAAATAAAAAGTTTTATTTAGGAGGGCGCTGTGGTCCGTGGTGTGTAAATGAAGGGCTGAGTGAGGAGGGAGAGCTGAGAAAGTTCGGAGCCACGGGCACTGGTTTTTTTTTTCCTTCTCCAGTTCTGGCTTGTTGGGACTGTATTTATTGCACATTAAAAAGGAATCCTTTCCCCTCACAGATAGCGGCAAAGAGTCGAGTAGATCCTCCTGCCCACCGACCTTGATTTTACACACGGAGAGGAAGAGTTCCCCCGTGGAGAGCGATGGCGATAAGGTCTGCGATGGCGTTTCTTCTGTTGTAAACCTCTTTAAACGATTGAACTGCCCAAGTCAGAGCTAGGATGAAAGATTGTCCTCTGGCTGGAGCTGTGCTGGTGACGCGGGGTTGTTTCCTAGAGTCAGTTTTCACGAGCTGTCTCCTTAATTTATCTTGGTGCTTTGCAGGAGCTCTGCCACCGCAGCATGGGGTATCAGAGGAGGGATGCATGTGGCTGGTTTTCTCCCTGTGCTGGAAAAGAAGCGAGTCTGTGGTGGGAGGGGATGCAAATGGGAAGGTGTGGCACCACCCAGGGTAAAATTTGTGTCCTGAGGTGTCGAAGTGCAGAAGCAGAGTCTCTGTGATTTTCTCAGACCTGCAGTGGCAGGGACCTGCGGAGCTGGGTCAGCTCGCTGGACCTCACGCCACTTGTCACAACATCAGCCCCACGGGCAAGGAAGCAATTTTTCACGGCCCTCACCTTTTTAGTGTTATTGATTTAGCTGTGCCGGGCGCTTCTGGAGCCCTCCTTTACAAATAATTGCGTGGTACTTAAATAAACCCGACAGGTGAATGTAAAGGCATAGCAAGTAGTTTGTGCAACTTGCAGATGGGTAATGCTATAGGGATGGAGCTTCATTAGCTTTTTTTTAAATCACCTATATTGTGGTATAAAGGAAAAGGACCTAAATTGTACTCCCAGCTGATCCAAAACATTTGGAAATATTTGTTCGTTTTCGTTTTGCATATTCCTGTCCACACTGCTGTCTATAGGCTCTGTGCAAGCAAACCTTCCCTGCCTACCAGGGGCTGCAGCTGCTTTGGTAACTCGGGTGCACGTTCCTTAGTTGTAAAATACTTTGAAGATTAAGACCTCTGGACACGTGCCTTATCATTTTTTAATGAAGTACGTGCTTCTCATGTTTTGATACCTCATCGAGCTAGATCCCTGCCTTCCTCCCACACCTCCCCCTTGCACTTCATTTCTGTCAGCTGTTATGATAAATAATACGATAAATATTACGATAAATAGCCATTCTCCAGCTGCTGAAACGCTGCCTGTACTCCTCAGCTGCACCACACGACCCCGCTGCGATGGCTCTTGCCATGTGGCCACTCACACCCTTCCCTGGCCAGTTCCCTGCTGCTTTGTGCCGTCCCCTGCCCCTCGTCGGGACGGACATCGCTCCCGCCCAGCGTTCCCGACGAGACGGTGGCTCTCGTTACTGCAGTACGGGGTTATGCCAAGGGAGCTATTGGCACGAAGGAAAGCACGTTTCTGGTTTGTCATTTGTGTTGCTCTAAGTGGTGCCACGTTCTTATTATTTCCTCTTTATCTGGGCTGTGCTCAAGGTAGGTGGTTGTTCATAAAGCCGCTGGCGGGATAATGGCAATAGGGGCGATCCACTTCACGTTATTTGTTTAACAATAGCCCTCTTCTGCATGGGCTTTGTGGGTTGACTAATCTCTTGTCTGTCTTTCCAGGATCATTCTTTTAAACTCGTAAACGACGATGACAGCACATCCAATGGCAACAAGCCCGTGGCATCCACTCCAGTGCCAGGATCACCATGGTAAGCAAATGCAATCAGACCTGCTAGAAGCCACTTGTCAGCTCCGTTTCCCTTGCCAAACGTGCATTAGTGGTCTGCTATGTGGGGAAAACACGCTGCCCTGGGTGTTAAGTAGCAATGCTGGGTTCCTGTGCCAGCTTCCAGTGGAGCTTTTCCTCATTTATTATGTACTTAAGGAGAAAAATGCAAACACGATGTGAGCCAGGTTTCTAATTTTTAATGGCAGAAAAATACTCAGGAATGTTACCAAACCTTGCCTACCTTATGAAATAAAAACCTCCTGCTAATAGGGTCATCTAGTGCCCTTACTCATTCCTAAATTACGATTTTTCTAAAAGGGAAACATGAACATGACAATATCTGTGTTTCCACTTTATGCTCCGTGACTGAAACAAAATACCACGCGTCCCCTGTGGATAATTGAAAGCCGTTGTTCTACCAAAGAGCCACAGGTGACGTGTTACACGGGGAAAGGGACGTTAATTTTAAATTAAATGTCAAATTATATTAGTCACAGAAAAGTGAAGGGACCCCAGAGTTTCTGGCCTGGCAGTGCTCAGTGCTGAATGAGCACCGTTAACAGCCAGGCTTGGTCCATCGTTCTGATATTTATAAAAGGACAGCAGTAGCCCATGTGAATCAATCAGCTACGTCTGTCCTCTTCACCTAAATGCCCAGAATTTTTTCCCTCCCTTCTGGGACAACTGTGGGATTTGTGGGGCTGTGGAGCCTTGGTTTGGGAGTGTTCCTGGCGAAGTCCCCCTTGGTGTGCTCTGCAGGGAGGCTCGGGGATGGTGGGTCCGTGTTTTGGGGAGAACAGAGGGTCCCGCAGCTCTGAGGTGCAATGAAAGAAGTAGTAATTAGACCTAGTTATGGTGTAGCAGAGGATCAGAGCAGCCGTTTTGTGAAGCACTTTCACGATCCAAAATAGTTGAAGGGTAAAATAAGCAGAAAGTTATTAAAATACTTGTGGCCGTGCCTCTGAATTAGGGATGCCAGAACCTCCGCGGGGGTGTAAGCACGACCGAGGCCAGCGGCTCGGTCTGTACAATCCATTTTGTGCTCCTGCTCGTTGGGAGAACGTTTAACTCCACACAATTGCTGTGATGCTGGGGCTGGGTGAGACCCTCAGCCCGCGCTGTGCCCGCACCCTGCGTTCCTCCGCGGTTTCGGGAGAGGTGCCGCGGTTTTCATCACGCGGTCGGGCAAGATCAACGGGGACGCCTTAGCGGTGGTGCACAGAGCATCTTGGATTATCTCATTATGTACTCTGCAGTCATGGAGCATTTCTCATATTTGCAGTCTTTTACCTAGATGGGACTTTTTTTTTTTTTATACCAGCTTTGTTCCCTGCTTTTAATAACAGTTGAGCAGCCAAGCTCCTAATGATAAGATTTGTTCCTTCCAGGTGTTTATGCTTCAGAGACACCAACATTTTCCTATTATAAGGAAAGCCAGAGTGTGTACATGATGTTCGTTAGTCTTCATTAGGATTCAGAAAGTGCAGGCTTGAGATTGATACTCTGTTTGTTTATTACACGCAGATTTAGTGAAGTAAAACTCGAGGCTTTGGAATGTCTGCTAAGGATGGTGCAGTGCTTATTTTCGTATTATTTTAGCTGATTTCAAGTGAACATCAGGTCAAAAAGTTGAACTGCTGCCATGCATGTTTTAACTGACCAAGTTGAGAAACTGTGATTTGTGCAGCAGCAACTTGGCCACCTTTTTCAGATTTGAACCAGAGCCCGTAAAGATCACCCTGAAACTTTGTGACAGTTTTCTGTGGTGGCTGGTTGGACCTCTACAGTGCAGGAGGAGCCAGCTGTGTCTTGGGGTTGAGATGGATGGAAATGGGATGGGGATGTAGATGCCATGGGGGTGGGTTGGGGATGCTGAGGGGATGAGGTGGGGATGGGGATGCAGCTGCTGTGGCAATGGGATGTGGATGCTGTGAGGGTGGGATGCAGATACCGTGGGGATGCTGTGGGGCTGGGATGCCACGGGGGTGGGATGCAGATGCCGTGGGGATGAGGATGCTGTGGTTATGCCTCCTCCCACCAGCGCAGCCAGATAAAGCTCCCACGGCTGCGACAGCCAGCCAGCCCTGCCCCACGGGCACCAAGGCCTGCTTTTTGGGGGTGTTTAGTCCATTCCATGCCACTTTATTGATAGGGAGAGAGTTGCTCTGCCCAAGGTGGCTGGTGGAGTCTGGGGCAGGCTGTCAGTCCCCGAGGACGGCAGAGCTGCCCTGAGCCAGCGGCGGGTTAATTTCTTGTTCATGGGTGTGTCTGACGTTCTCTAAGCATAGTTTATCGCTTGGACTAGGTGTGTAGTCTGGACTGGAGATGACCGGGTCTTCTTCTTCAACCCTACAATGCAGCTGTCAGTGTGGGAGAAGCCAGTGGACCTGAAGCACCGCGGCGACATCAACCGGATCATCGAGGACCCTCCTCACAAGCGCAAGCTGGAAGCTGCAGCAAGTAACTAAAGCCCTGTGATTATTTGCCTCTCTTTAAACTCAAATATCAAATGAAACTTGGTCGCTAACCACGTTCAGTGAGAGTTTTGATAATCGTAATTAGAGTGGTTTTCCTTTTGAGATTTCATATTAGTTTTGCGTTGAAATTGACATTTATTGCAAAATCCTTACTTTGGTTGAAATGCTGAGCTTGAGAGAGGGAGCATCTTCGTTAATGGTGATGAAGAAACAGGTGGCTGCTTACACTGGAGGAATCTTTGATGTATCAAATACATCTCAGAGGACACTGTCTTTGTGTTTTATTACACTTAGTTCCAAGATGTACATTAGGAATGCATTACCAATGCATTATTCAGCTGTGTTACACAAAAAGCTAATGATCATCCAACCAGGTTGTCGAGGGGGGAAAATATCCCCATAGTCAGTCTCCAATGAGTGCTGGAGAAGGTTGGGTGGGAACGTGGGTGCTTCCATCTGCTCACGACTTTGCAGTCGCCTCCTGAACACTGCGGCTTCCCAAGGGGAGAGTCGTGGCTTAAGAAAAATGCTAATGCACGTGAGAGGGTTCAAAATGCAACTGGAAAGACACCGTTTGGCTTGCCAGTGCCCTGAGGTGTTTGCTGACTGGGCTTCCCCAGGACAGCCAGCTCACGGAGGTGTTTTTCCCACCCTGACTCCTCCCCGTGCCATCTTTTTTCCTGCTCTCCATCCCTTAGTTTTTCGGGCCAGTTTTTCCCCATGCTGGTGGCCAGTCTGGGAGCAGCCCGACTCGTGCTTGCCGGTGCAGCGGTGGCTCCGTTGTCTGTTCCACCACGTTGCTCTCCCAAATCAGTATTTCACCACTTTTTGTGGACTCCCGGTCACTGGGAGCTGCTCCGTGCCACGTCAGTGCTCCTCTTATTCCCCGATGCTTTACGTTGGCTTTCAGGTGGAGGCAACGTCAGTAAGACCTGGGGTTACTGGGAGGAAGTTTTATGTTATCAGTATTAGCAGAAGTTTGCTGGGAAAAAAAGCCACAAAGAATGGTTTGCTATTACTTTAGTCCTTATCTAATGCTGTTACATTTTTCAGTATAAATTTCAGTTGTCAGATTTTTGTATATGGCTTGACTAACTTTAGCTGCACCACTAATAATTCCAAAGCGCAGCTGCTGAAGTTCATTCTTCAGGAGAAAAATGTAGCATATGGGTTTTATTGCAGGATATATTGAAGGATCAATTAATTACTGACAAGGGAGAATGATGGCCAAAGTCAAATCTGAAGAACATTGTTTATGGTCTATAATTGATTAAAAAGAAGAGTTTAAAGGCATTGTTGATATGTGCCACTTCACAGATCTATTTTTTGCCTTGCATTCCATCCTTTTTATTTATTACTTGTGTGTCCCACCAAGATTTGATTCATGCACCAGTTTCTTTATGACCATAGTTTTCTTTGTTGCTAATAGTCTTAATCTTCCTTGATATAATTGGTCGCTCAACATTTGAGACAGTCGGGTTATAATTAGTATATATTAGCTGCTAAGGTGAAAGGAATTATTGGTTACCGTTTCTTTTAGCTTGTAATCTCGAGTAAATAAATAATACAAATGAGCTGTGTGTTTGCAACAATGGTTGCCACATTTATTTAGCTTAGTTGCTGCTGCTGAGTTTTAATTAGAATTTTTAAATCAAAAGCATGGAAAAAGGTGGCAAGCGTCGTTATTCACGGGGTGCTATAGGTTATCTGCGCATCACTCTGCTGAAAGATCAAGTGCATTTATAATTTAGGAGTAAATGAAAAATTACCCATTTATCAATTACTCCGCCTCCACAAAGTATTAGTTCTTGAGGAGATTTATGAAGGTGTCGTGGCTCTTCACTAATGGGTTCCCATCAGGCCATCCCCTGGAACGGGCTCCTCCCGTGCCCGCGGAGCTGCTGGGGTAGAGCGGCTCTGGGCCAGCCCCTCTCAGCCCTGCGGGGAGGGAGCCACCACCCACCAGACATGGTCCGGGACAGAGGTGGCTTTTCCAGGACTTTCACAGAGTCACGGGATGGTTTGGGTTGGAAGGGACCTTGAAGACCATCTCTCTCCACCCCTGCCCTGGGCAGGGACACCTCTCTCCCACCAGCCCAGGTGGCTCCAAACCCCGTCCAGCCTGGCCTTGGGCTCTGCCAGGGATGGGGCATCCACAGCTGCTCTGGGCAACCTGGGCCAGTGCCTCACCACCCTCACGGTGAAGAATTTCCTCCTAATATCTAATCTGAATGTCCCCTCTTTCATACCTTGGTCTTCTGTGTTCCCAAATCAGAGCTGGGTGACATCAGAGTGTGACACCTCTCTGTTCTTGGCCCTGGTTGTCATTACTCCTGTCTCAGTACGGTCACAGACTGACCCATAATATCCCTATTTCCCCTCAAAGATTCCTTGAAATGTTTCTGTCTCATTGCAATAGAGAAAAACATTTTATCTATTGCTATTCCTCCACCTGCTCAGATGGTTTGTCTGGATGTTTAGGCTGAGGAAGCAATATTTTTTTTTTCAGCTAATTAGGGAAAACTGACATTCTGACTACAGAAAATGATACGTTGATTCATACTTGGGTGGATACCTATTCAAGCTCAATTATGACATAGTTGACTCTGTCCACACAAACATTTTTGGACCCTTTAGCATTCAGATGAAAATATAAAGCTCACCACTAGAAACGGCACAGATACACTCCCCATCTCTATGTGCAATTCGGGGGTGCCAGGTCTCTTCACAAAATGGTAAATTGGATTTTTCTGTGTGGCCAGTGGATTGACAGTGCTTTAACTCACCTGGTAAACGCTGCTGTTCCCTCTTTGTTCCGGATAATGAACCGGAATTCACGACGTGGCTGGGATTAGCTGAATGATTTAATTGATCAGCACTAAGCTTGATGGACCATCAGATTGGGGCAGTGCTCCGCTTCGTGATTTCATGGGCAGATTACTGGCCAGCAGCACTCTTCCTCAAAGCTTTAAATCAATTATTACCTTTAGTGCTCGGCTGCCTCTCCTCCCTTTCGAAGTCAGTCCTGCAGTCGCCGCAGAGGTCCAGCAGCACGATGCGATTCAGTCGGTTCCCGAGTTCCCTCCGTCAGGTTTTAGGGATTGTTGCATTGCACTGAAATGTTAAGTGGTGATGCTGGCTCTAGTCTTGTCCCATTTACCCAAGACAGCGTGCCCACAGCAGTCACAGCGAGGGGCATTTTGCCTTCAGAATTCCTTAAAATTAAGACAACCGCTGCCTCCGCGGGTCGTTCAGCTCCTCATTAATAGCTTTATGATATCTCCGCTGAATTGCGTTCTACCATCCGAGTTCACCGGTTGTTTTTTCCCATTTCTTTGTATTATTTTTTAATTGGGTGGCCCAAAGAAGAATTTACTGAGAAGATGGAACAGTTACAGCAAATTTATGTTTATTTAAAATATTATTACATGCATTTATGTGTTTGCAGTGCTCGTATATTGTCAGGAACGTTGAGGCCAAAGGCTGCTTTCTTTGGAATGCCAGTCATTTCTCCTTATTGCCATTTTCAGTTGTAGTTAGTAAGGCATCCATTCCCATCTTCCTTGCATTTCCTCCTCATGTGGTCTCTGTTCTGGTCTTCCCACACTGCTACATTTCAGCTGCTGTTTGGTTCCTGTTGTTCCTTTTGCAGAGATTTAGTGTATGCTGTATCCAAGCGCTTAACAGAAATAAAGGGTAACATTTGCTGAAAGCATACTAGTGAACATGTGATTTCCCTAAAATAGGGAAACAAAATGAGCCAAGAACAAGAGCCTTAAATTGAAACTTGAAATAAATGGCCCAAGTTTTGTTAGCTTCAATGATCCAAAATTTGGACCCGTTTTCCAGCAGATATCTTGGAGTTTCATCTGATTTTGGGGAGATCAGATCTGACCATATAGAGCTATTTAGACCTTTTTATCTCTGTAACATAAATTCAATTTAATATTTACTTTTTTTTTTTTTTTCAGTAGTTTCCTAAATGACAAGACATGTCCTCATTACCAGCCTCACCCAAAAAGCCTGAGGTTTGGTGTTTCTGATATTCCCAAGCTAACCACACCCAGTTCTGTTCTTCTATTTCTCAACTAATTAATGGTGAATGACTGAAGGGTCCCCAACACAAACCAAACCCTGGATGGACATGATTTCCAGTGGTCCATCCGTTTGAATGCTGATGAAGCCTACAGTTTGTATATGTGAAAAAAAAAAATTAATAATTTTCAGAAATAAATGCCTGTTGCATATGCTTCGTGTTTGTTACGACCTCAGGGATGAGTGTCCCGGCCACACCAGGAGTCTGGTGTTACCTGGGACTTCTGCAACATCAGGAGCCTGGAGGTGGCTGGTATCTCCATGTCCTTGCTATGCTGGTGGCTGAATTTCTGAAAAACAACCTTGTCTTTGTTCAGATAAGAAAGAGATATGGTCTGAGGAGGGAAATTCTGGTGCGAGCTAATGCTGTTGAATCCTTCCGGCTGCCAGGACTGTGCTAATTTTGCAGAAATGTCTTCGTAGTTGTATTTCACGGAGAGAGAGGAGGGAATATCGGGTGGAACAAAATAACATTTAAGTAAATTCAGGTCACGAATGAATAATTTTCTTCACAATGTGAGCAATGAGCGATTTTTCAGAATGAAAGTGGTAGGGTTTGTTGCTCTCTCTTTCCTTTGGGTGAGGGTGTTTATGAGACTCTGATAAAAAGTGTTATTTTTAAAACATTCTGTGGAGAGTGAAAAATACAAGTTCCTGAGCAGTGGCCAAAGAGAAGAAATGAAAGGTTAATCTGAGGAGGAATATGTATTCCCATTCATCTAGTTCAAATCTAATAACTATTTGTTTCTTTTCAGCAGATAAATGTGTTAGTTCTTGTCCAGGGGATGAAAATGATGATCTTAGCATCAAAACGAAGAGAAATAAGTAAGTCCAAAAGTTTACTTATCTGTAATGTTGGGGAGCTAATGTCTGGTTTAATTAAGTGCAAAGAAAAATATGATTATTTTCTTCTGTGAGGGTGTCTACACCTATGAATTATGTGAGCCCTTCTCAGGGTATCCAGTCTTCATGAGACTCTGTGATTCTCTAAAATATCTGTTTCCACTGAATAGCATCCGTGTTTGTCTGAGTAAACTCTTCCGTGCTTTGAAATGGTTAAAAAAAGACTATAAAGGTAAGTGGTTATTTCAAAGCCGTTGCATAAAAGCTCTGTCTTCATTGAAGTGAAGCAGATTCTTTTTTCGCTGGTGTTAGAGTTTCCAGGCTACTGGCTCGGGAATATCCAGAGGTATTTCCGTTATTGGGCTTTTATTTGACCTTTATTCCAATGTGGGTTTTAAATTCTCCTGGAGTTACAGGCCAAAAAAACCCCAACAAAACCCAACATGTGCCAAATAAGCAACTCCCTCACCCTTATGCCAAAATGGCAAGAAAGTGAAGTAACCAGGTCTGGTTGAAGCACTACCTTAGAGACATTTAATTTTATTTAACCTCTGGCCAGTAACTGCACATAGTATTTGCTGTTCTTGTGGCCTGGCTGTGAAGAAGATACTGGTTTGGACCATTAAAAAAAAAAAAAATCTGTAAAGTAAATCTGCACAGATAGTGTATTATGGTTTTAAGGAAGCACAGAAATTTCTGTGTTTTCCAAGTGAAATTATTGAAGATAATTCTGTGTTTTCTTGTATTACCATTCTTATTCCATACATTGGGTGGTTCTTTTGACCTCATTAAGGGTTTCTGTGGATTCATATTATTACGAAGGAAGAATCAGATACTCCAAGTTGAATAATCTGTCTATTCAAACATCTAATGCTTGGTATAAAAGCAGATATTTATATATACTGAAGATGTACTTTTACAGTTTACATAGTTTTTATTATTCATAAACAGTATAAAAGTTTATAGATAGTATAAAATATTTAAGACTACTTTTATTGATGTCAGGCAGCCTGACAATAATGGGCCGGTGTTCTGACCTGTGGGCAGAAGCAGATATTTTCCCTGTGCTGTGAAGTTGATTCCCTTTAGTGATTGGTTGAGAAAATGTGAAAATCTTTCCACTACTGTGCATGAATGGAATTCTAAAACTCCAGAAACTTGTTGATAAACTCTAGAAGTACGCACTTATTCAAAGATTACAGTATCAAAGTAGGCTTGAGCTTACTGTGCAGCGTGTGGGAAGGTCAGGTGGTGTCCCCTCAAGAATAAGGAATGTTGTCTCACCTTCATTGGGATTCCATGACTTATTCATCCTTGAAAGACCCGCTTGGGCTTTTTTTTACTCTGTTATTTTCTTTACACTCAGACGGACATTGTCAGAATGGTTAAGACCCGGGCGTGGACCAGTTTTTTACGTATTTGCAGAATTTCTCTTTTCATATTTCTGTTTGCGTGCAGAAACACTACTTTATTTCCCCCTCAAAGGAGATCGGTAAATGCAGTTCTAGCTGGGCCACGGCAGGCGGCCGCGGAGCTGCCGCGTGACTCTCCTGTCCTTAACTCACTGGAGCTCTGCCCGTTGTGTCACCGGCGCCTTCATCTGCTGACACATATTTGGGTGGGCTAACCAGCAATGGAGCTCACATCTTCCTTGAGATTTGGGACAAGGTATTCATATGCAAAGCTCTGAGATCCCCAAGTTCTATCTTCGTTTAACCTGAACATCCTCAGATGAGGAGGACCCAGTTCTCATTTGCTGCGTTTGGGCAATTAGCCCTGTGAAAGTCAAGGGCAACAAGCGCAAGAGAAACCAGTGAGGCTTGACTTGACAACACAGAATTTCCTCAGACTTCGTCGCCATGATCCCGATTCCCCAGAAGTTTGACCTGTCACCAAAAAGCTGCAAAGTGTTTATTTTTCTGTCAGCAGAGTGTACATCCTCAAACTGCAACGTGATTTCTCCAGCTGTTCTGAATTTTAAATTCTCGTCTGTGACATGTGAAGATTTCCCGACGTTTTGCTTTGTACCCTGAAACGGTGGCAGAGTGTAGAGGTTTGTGGATGGAAGTTTAAAATACTGACCTTCTACTAAAGAAATGCATTCGAAGTGCTTATTTAACTGTGTTCATACCAGACAGTAGCTAACAGCTCGTGACATATAAAAGCAAAATATTGTAGGATCTTGGTTTCAAACTGGAATTTCACCTCGGGGTGAAAAACCACGTATTAACTCATTTGTTACACTGAGGTAGTTTCCAGGGCTGTGATTGAGACACCGCACCGGAGATGGTGTGGGTCCCTCCCAGCTGGGTACCCATTGCACCCGACATCTGTGACAGAACAGAAGGCTGAACCCCACTTTTACCCTAGCCCAGCCATTAGTCACTTGTTTCTGCAGTGCCGACATTTTTCCTTGCTGAATTATAACTGACAAAAGGAGGTGTTACGTGCTTTCAGGGTTTGTTTTTAAATATGCTGCATTCCCTATTTAATTTAAGCGAAGTTACTTAGTAAGTCACAGCTCGTTTGACACGCTTTAAATCACCTGCTATACAGAAGGAGCCGTGCTAGTGGTGAGATTTAATTGCCTCAAAATTCCAGCACAATTCTTTCTAATTCAGCCAGAGGGTTGTCACACGGAGGGTCCCACAGGATCACCAGCTCCCCGGGGTAAGAACAAACCTGCCCTTCTGCTTCTCCTGGGGAGAAGAGCTAGCAGAGGAGCTGGCCCGAGGGCGGCTGCAGAAGGTGGCACAGCTCCCTCCCTTCTCTTCTGGACGTTTGCAAAACCTCTGAGCAGTGCTTCCAGCCACAACCTCCATCTGCAGGTTGCAGCAAGCTGCTGTTGCATTTTTATTCCTGCTTTGTCGAGGTGTCATGAAATCTTGCTCTGGCTGTGCTCTCTACAAAAGAAAAACAATCTTCAGAGAAACTTAGCTTTTCCGGGTTTTCTTCACAGAATGGCTGAGGGGGGGGTCTCTGCCTTTCCCAGCAGATCACTCAGGGACCTGTCCAGGTTGAGCGTCTCCAAGGATGGAGCCCAGCAACCTCCCTGGGTGGCCCACCCCATGTCCAACCATCCTTACAGGGCAAAAAAAAGCTTTTTCTTATCCATACATGGATTTCTCTGCACTTAAATTTGTGCCTGTTGCCTCTTCTCCTTTTGGTGGGTGCCAAACTTACACGAAAACGTCTCACCACTCCATCCTTTTTCACATTTGTGGGCCTCCAAGATCATGGTAGTAGACTGCCCATTTGTGTATGTCCCTATGTAGGACATCACACGGTTTGTTGGGCAGATAATTGTATTATTTGCTCCAGGAAATGGTATTCTTTCTTGTCTTTTTTTGGCATGAGAAAAAAATCGGTGTGATTTGCAGCATCGCTTCCAATGGCGTAAGGAGGAGTGAAGGAAAAGGGGCTCTTGTGGTGCTTGGCTGGTGGCATCGCTTTCTGGATTGCAGTTTCGGCTTGAAAAAGCTCTTTTTGTGTTCTAGAAATTGGATTGGGCCTTTCATGGATTGTGTCACAGAATGAAATTTGCTATTACAATTTAAAATTCATTGTCATTCTGTGAAGAACACCAGTTTGATATCTCTCAAATCACTGGTAACGCAGCATCATTTGAGGATAAATATAAGTGTAATGTAATTATTTGTAGAAGGAAGGTAATAACGCTCGAGCTCACATTACGTACTGATCTACTTCGCTTGCTTGGAAGTAAAAAAATGTTTTCCTGCTTATTTCAGATTAAGTATTATTCTGTGGCGGTGAAAATTGCATCGGTAGAAAATGCAGTCATGCCTAGTAGGAGGCTGAAAATCGAATCGCCTTGCTTTCGTTGTCCTCACTTGAACCTCACCATCATTTTAAGACTCCTGATCTTTCCAGAAAGAGCCTTAATTTGTACCAAACTCACTCATTGCTCCGAGGTTTGAGAAGCAGCTGGATGGACCCGGAGCAGCAGAGGGCTGATGGCGAGCTCTGAGTTGGCCAACTTCTCTAAAAGTCAGGAGTTTCATACTCACCCCCTCAAACCCCATCTCCTCCTCAGAGCAGACTCCTCCCTACCTTCGAGGGTCCCATCTCCCTGACCTCCCCTTGCAGATGCTGCGGCCCCACGGGGGGCGGTTCTCCATGGGGTGTAGATGGCTGGCTTCCAGCACTGTGAGAGCGCTGTTAATGGTCTCTGGTTGGGTTGTGGAGATACTTACCTGGGGAGAAGCAGGTCATCTCCAGCGCTGGCAGCGGTTCCGTGGGATTGCACCTGAGGGAGAGCATCACTGGTGCTGCTGCTGCTTTATGGCTGCATCTTGCATTTACTTGTCCTTTCCCAAAATGAGCCCAGTGGTGCTACGGATCGGCCTTCATCCAGGGGCTCTTGTAGGCAAAGGGGCTCAGGCGGTGTGTAGGAAGTGTTTTCTCAGGAACACCTATTTATTCTAATCAGATACAATCTTGGAAGGAGGCTCTGAGGATAAATGCAGACCTTCTGGCAGTGGCAAAGGGCAGGTTCCTTGCCGATGCCTCGTTGCAGGTTGACACGTGCGAGGCGTGGCTGGGTTCCTTCCTGCACGACCGAGCTCGTGGGGTGCACGGGAACAAAAAAAAATCAAGATTAGCTTTGACTTTGAAGTTTGGGGGCACGTAAACCGGAGGAAAAAAAAATAAAGCAAGATGATTCTCTTCAGTCGGTCGTTGAAAGTCTCCACTCCTTGACAAATTTTATATAGAGCTGTCACTTTTCCTTCTCAGCGCCCGCTCCCACCCTGCCCCGTACGCGCGAGCAGGTCCTGCCGCCGGGGGGGTTTCTACAGGGGGTTAGAAATCCCACTGGAGTTGACAATTGCTGAACTGCTTTCTGTCCTGCCTTGTTAAAGAACAGACGATTCCCAAGCTGCTGACCAGGGGATGGCTGAAACAGAGGAGAAAAATGAGGAAACATCAGCGCCTCAGGTCACACCTCCCCTGGAGGAGCGCATCACGCATTTCCGAGACATGCTGCTGGAGAGAGGGGTAAGGAACGCGCTCGCTCGCTGTGACCTGTCTCATTTATGAAAACAGGGCATCGGCTGGGACCACTGCAGGGATCGTTTCATGACTGAGACTGAGCAGTCAGCGGAAGAACGGGTGAGGGACGGTTTTCTCTCTGTCAACCATATAGACTTCGTGGTGCTTTGCTCTGACTTGTCTTCTGGCCCTGCAGAACTGACAGCAGTTTTCTTCCAGATAAATTCCTATGGACAGACCTGAAAGACAGCACCAGGCTTGGGAATATTCCTGGCAAGCTCTTTGCTTTTTTTTTTTTTTTTTCTTGTCATGGGGGAGCTTTCATCACCCCAAACTCCAGTGGTCCCAGCAGTGGGAAGCCAAATTCACTTCTTGCTGCCTGGAGACATTGTTCCCTCTCTGAAATTGTCCAAGGCCAGGTTGGACAGGGCTTGGAGCAAGCTGCTCTGCTGGGCGGTGTCCCTGCCCATGGCAGGGGTTTGGAGCGAGATGATCTTTAAGGTCCCTTCCAACTCAAACCGTTCTAGGATTTTATTCTGTGATTCTACCAGCCATCTGAAATCTGCCCAGTCTGTTAGGAAAGGGCATAGTGGAGTCTCAGGATTAAGAAAACGTGCCCTTTTCCCTGGACCTCCCTGACCATCCTTGGACTTCCTTAGGAAGACTGGATGGTTCCAGTTGAGGCTCCTGAGGAGCAGGAGCGTGGGATGCTCAGGGCTTCGGGCTGAAAGGCGACGAGAAGAGGTGGTCCCTCCATGGCCGGCCAGGTGAGAGCACCTGGAGCATCTTTCCCTCCCCCAGACCTGGCATCCATGGAGCCGGTCCAGCTTATGGTAGGGCTTGGAGTTATTGCAGCCGTTTTAACGTGACCTTGTCAAGGTTTGGAGTCGATAGATGGAGCATAAATTCAATTTGCAGTTAGAACTACTCAGCTCTGTGAGCCTCGTGACTAATTTTTTCACAGCCAGCCCTTGGCACAGGCTGCCCAGGGGTTGAGTCCCCATCCCTGGAGGTGTTTAAAGGCCATTTAGGTGTGGGGTTGGGGTTGTTGAGTTAGGGGTGAGCTTGGCAGAGTAGAGTTTGTTGTCGGACTCAATGATCCCGGGGGGCTTTTCCAGCCTGAATGATTCTGTGATTTTATGATTCTATGAATTGCAGATTGCATAATAGCATCCCCGTGACAGCTTTTGTCAAGAGCTTCAGCCTGATTTTGGTTTTCTCTGGTAGCACTGACAAGCCTGTGCTGAACCAGCCCCAGGAAGATTGCTGTCAGCGTGTGGAATTTTGGATATCGTCATTTATAAACATAAAATCACCTCCACAAAAGTTCTTCTCATGGTGTCCCTCCTTCCAGAGAGCTGACGAATTGGAGTGTGGATGGAATTAATAAGCGTGGCAGGTTTAGGACCTCGTCCTGCAGATGTGACTGGGTGTGTAATGGATGTGTGAGCAGTTTATGCAGATGTCATCCCCCCCTGCCAACACTCTGCAAATACGTATTCTATAGAAGTTCCTGTAATTACTGTAAAGAAAAAAAAATCCAAGGTGTCTGCTGTTAGTTAGGCAGTAAAGCCTGTAAAATTTATCACTAGTAATCAGCAGACTTTAAAGGTAGATAATTAGAGCTTCAGAAGCTCAAAAGTAAATCACCTCCACGCTAGAGCTGCCTCATTAATATATTTTGGTGTTTATGCTTAAAAAAAGCGGAAGTGCCATAAAGGAATACTGCTGGCGTATTTTAAGTCAGGGGACAGTCAGTCAGAATGATATTAGGGGGGTTCTATAACAGGATTCCTCAAGTGTAGGAGTCAGACTTGCTCGTGCAAACGTGTTTGGGTTTGCTATTATTTGAAATTGCGTGGGGAATAGGTTACTTTGCTTTCGCCCTGAGCATTTCCTAAAATGTCCAGACGTGCCCTGGGTCAGCACCGGCTGGCTGGCATTGCTTGAAACGCAGTGAGGCCCTTACTGTCATTTCAAACTGATTATTTAATGAACCATTTTCTCGTCATGTTATTGTTTCTCAAGAAATTACTCGATTGCATTACAAAGAGCTTGAACTAGATGGAGTTCTTCAGCGCAGTTCTGAACCTTCCTGCAAAAATTATATCAGCAGAAGAATATTTGTGGTAACATTTTAAAAATAGATGTGATTTTTGGTGGAGCTCCAAGACAGTGGCACTGTTCTGAAGTCTGTGGCAAGTTGCCCTGGGCAGAAATAAAATCTGTAGTATACTCCTGGAGGTTTAAACATTTCCACAAATCCTGAGGGGAGCGGGAAAATCCAAGGCTCTTCCAGGCTCTCCCACAGCCACAGCATCGAAATATCCACATTCTGCAGCCTGCATTTATAGCGTCATCTTCTCCTTGCTGGGAAGCTGTCAGTGAAACAAGATGTGTTTTTAAAGGATTTCAAAAGGTGTTTTTTTCTCAAGGTTTTACATTCTTTATATTGCAGGGGAAAAAAAGGGTTTGGAGGGATCCTGACCTCTACCTTCCGGTCTCAAAACAATTTTTGCAGCCTAAACGTTATCCTAAATTAAAAAGGGAAAAAAGGAAGAGCCAAAATCTCAACCTACTGTCGTTGCGGGGCTTCCAGAGTGAATTAAAAATAAAATAAACTATCAAGATAGATGTCCTTTCACCTCTGAACACACTGCTCAAACTCAATGCATTGAATTTTTCTGAGTTTTTTTTTTTCCCTGGGCTTTGCACTCTGGTTAAGAGCGACAGCGGAGAACTGGAAACCCACAACAAGCTCAGATCTCTCTTCTCCTTTTCCTCTGTGGTGATACCAGGTCACAGAAGTCATTATTTATTTTGGGGAGAGATGTCACCTCCACTACCTCTGGAGCTTCTCCCCCCATAGGAGGGAAGACGACCACAATACAATGCACACTGGGAGATTAATCAGAATATTTATATTTTATATGCTTTCGCAGACCTCCAAAATGAATAACCTGAATAAGCATGTTACAGATATCAGTAGCCAGCATTTTTTTTGTTTTAGGAGTATGTCTGTAGTATGCGAAGTGTAATCATTACTAAACAAAAAATCGTGAACCCGAAGGATCGTATGATAAATTAGCCTGAGCTTAACTGGCTTTCAATCCAAACTGGCCGTTGTACTGGGAACAAAGCTGATGGCCAAGGTAAAAGCCACCCTGAAATAAAGAATTCC